CAATAGCATAGTGAACTTGAAATATTATAACAAATTGGAATCATTAATAAATATACAAACTATTTTAAAAATAAATATAGATAAAGATAAATGTTAATAGAACACTTTCCAATATTAATGTGACCAAAACTGCTAAAGAAGCAAATTTTGAAGAGCTCACTTTAACCTATCATAAAACTCAAAGCAGACCAACTATGGTGCATAAAGCTAAAGTCATCAAATATTTGTATTTTATAAAATGTATAAACTTTTCAGCTAAAAATTAAATACAAAATTTAATCTGTGAATATGATAGAATAGTTTCTTTCTGAGCATATTTACAGATTAAATTTTGTATTTGCTTCTTAGTTGAGAAGTTTATACATTTTATAAAATGCAAAACTTTGATGACTTTAGATGTTATGCACCATACTGATCTTGCTCAGCTCACAACGGTACTTCAGAATCTTGGATCACAATTAGCATATACATGACAACTATTATTGTATTTTTTTTAGATTATAAAATTTTTATGAATGTATGCGTGCTCGTTCCCACGGAAATGATGACGATAATACTAAAACTCGATTAAGAAAACGCAAAAATGAGAAAAATATTTGCAAGTGATATGTTGTGAAGATATCCAGTCAGCCAAAGGCTATGGACGACAACTCAATTCCAACAACAAAGTATCAATCAAGAAGATTGTTCTGCGAGGTTTTTTACTTGTAGGTAGAATTAGCGAGTAAAGTATTGAAGGGCCAACTTTATGATCTGCTAACTACAGTGTGAGCATTATCTGTTTTTAATTTGCAAGTCTCTTGTATCGTGTCTCTTACCATAAAATCCCCTTGGACAGTCGAATTAACGTCAACACCGTATTACGCACTTTAGTAATAATTGGAAATTGAAACACAAAATCTAGCGCACGTATCGGCATTAATAATCGTCCGCAGGATTCGGGATCCCTAAAAAATCAACTGTCTTTTAATCATTCATTGTAGACCGTGAGTTTTCATATCACTCGAAATAGGCAGGCAGGATAAAACTTGCTTGTTTATTATTTGAGTTTAGCTAAAAATAGCTGTATATAGATTTCTCTTTTAATTTAATGCATATGTACGTATTTATGTATACATGTATATATATAAAATAAAGATAGATTGACAGAAATCAAATCTTTACTGATAAATTAAATAACCAGTTCTTTTAAGAAACTTTTAGAATAATTTTTCCGCTAGCATGCAACTTCTCACTCAACTCATGGGCTTTTGATACATCCTGAAGTGGGAACCGCTCACCAATAACGGTCACAACTTCCTTACGCTCCAAATACGGAATAACTTTCGGGAAATCTTTTCGATCAATATCAAGCAATGGTTTGTACGTTCGTGAACCAAAGATTTTTCTGCCGACAACCGTAGCACCGAATTTCGCGAGATCACCAATCGTCAATTTTTGTTCGTTAATTTCGGTGGCGACGGCCACATAGATACCATTCTTTTTCAAGAGTGGACTGGCTTTGTCGTAGCATCCAGCTTCGCCGACTGTATCAATGACTAGATCAAAATCATGTTCTTCTTTTAATACTTCAGCGTAGTTGAGTTGTGTGTAGTCGATTACACGGTCGGCGCCAAGTCGTGTAAGTAGAGTTGCATTTTTCCCTGAACTGACTGCTGTCACGCTTGCTCGATTAGCTTTCTTTGCTAGTTGTACTGCAAAGGTGCCAACACCTCCTGATGCGCCAATTATTAGTACTTTTGGTGTGTGACCTTCTGCTTTCTCGCCGTATGGTAGATTGCCAAGTTCAACTAGGGAATGCCATGCAGCTAGTGATGCAAGTGGTGCACCAGCTGCTTCTTCATGCGTAATTGAGACTGGTTTTCGTTCGATAATGTCTTTTTCTGTATTGACGCGAACGTATCTGTCGATTAGAATTTTTTTAAGTGTTATTA